GCCAAATTAGGTATAAGACCTCTTATATAGAATTCCATTTCCTGATCCAAGAACAATTAGGCGGTCTTTAGAAAATATGCATCATTAAACTACATAAATTTAATAGACAAAACAAAAGATACATTCCATTTGCAGGAACCAACTGTAGAGAAGCAAAAAGAACCATACGTGAGGTTGAAGGAAGCCATCAGAATCCTCATCAAGCTCACTCATATCAATCCTGGCTTGAGTAAGGGATACCTGAAGATGTAACAGAAGCGAGGTATTACATGACATAAAGAGTTTCTGCAAGTAGCATATGGGCAGCAAAAAGTTGAAACTTTTCTCAATCCTTTAATTTTTGTTTTCATTAATGTAGAATCACTAACTAATCTACTCAGAAAGAATCCAGCACCCACTGGAATTCACTGACAGCTGCTAATATGATTATGTAGATGATGATATCTAGTTTCCGCCAGAATCAGACAAAATGAGCAACTATCGTGAAGCATGGGATACATGCAGTGGAATGTCCTCTAAAGCACTTGTTACTCTGATGTCTATTATCATAGAAATTAAAGATGGTATTCGACATTCTTAATTTCCCGATATTCAGAGATCCAGGACAGAGATTTACAATTGAATCATAACGTAAGGTGCCTTCTCATTTTTCTGAGCTATTCATTACAAAATATAATGTCTTCTCCTTCTATTTCTCAACAGCGTTCTTTCCTTTTCTTTTCAATCTCTTCCTTTCTTTTTTATTTTTTTCTGCTTTCCTGGGAGGTGTGGGACAGGGTGGGGGGGTCTGTCCAATAACAAACAATTCACCAAAAGCCAGTCCATACAAACTAAAGACATTTTGGCACAGATTTTTTAAAAAATCATTTTCAATAATATATTCTTTGAGACCCACAACTTCCCCCACTTTTTAACCGCACATTCTCCAAAAAATTATGTGTCAAACAAGCTTTAAATTTTTTAGTCCTAGAAATATAATGCAATAATAGGACAAATCATTCTAAAAATTAAAATGTATAAAGGGGGAGAAGGGAAGAGGATTAGATAAAGCATCTGTGAGCATCAAAGGAAAAGCAGCTCAACATTCTGTGGGCATAAAAGGATCAGCAGCACCTACCGTTCGCATTACATACAGATAGAATGGAAGAATGGCGATTCTTCCCAGTTCGTCTTTTTCAAACTTCATGAAATTCGAAGGGCAGAAAAAGCGTCGACATTTGGGGCCTATTTGTTCTGTACATACAGAGGCAATGTGGCAAAAGTCTTCGTAATTCATCTAACAAACGACAAGTGAAGCATTTTAGCATAACTTCATAAGCACAAGAATGGAAAACACAAATGTGTTGCATGAATCCACTGGAAATTGTTAAATTTTAAGACAATTAATAAAAAAATAAGAAAATGCCATTAGTTAAACTGAAGATATAGATAAATCCAATAAAAAAGATGGGTAAACTATATGCTTGTCCAGAAATAACCCAAAAATTGGACGTTATATTAGTTTTTTGTCTTTGTACTTCTTGAATCCCAAGTAAATGGTTCAATGACTTCTCTCTCCAAGAAACTAAGCCCTTGTTTGAGCCCCATTTATTTAGGGATAGATTTTGTAATAGTGATTTTTTTGAAGAATGTGTAGTTAAAAAGTAGGAAAATATTTTAGATTTACGTGCAAAATTATATTATTGAGAGAATATGTGATAGAAAACGAGTTTTAAAAAAGTGAGTTTTTTGAAAATGGGGGCTCAAAGAGGGCATTAGTATGCTGTCATGCAAATTGAACTGTTAAAAGGCAGCTTGAAAACAAGTTGCATAGAAAGCTATCCACAATATTATAATTTATAAAATTTCTCGAACATTTAATAGACTAGCTGTGTGATATGCAAAAATACAAGTTCAAAAAAATACTGCATTCCACTGTAAAGTAGAGTTTCCATTAAATTTCCACAATGCAGCAAAACTTTGTATACAACTACTTAGACTGAAAAAACTATGACTGGTTATAATGGAGAAACAAGGCAGGAATAGAAGAAATGATATAAATACTTAAAATCCATCATTTGCAGTAAAACAGACAAAAAGAATCAGAACAACAACTGACCTTTTCAGCACCAGTTGCATCATCAATTACACAATTTTCTCTCAGGCATAGCCACATAGCATCCAAATCATCAGCATTCAGCAAAAGATCGGTTTGTTTCTGACCAAGAAAACTACAATGTCAGGAATCAAATCCAAACACTACACGAATTAATCAAGGAATTGTGGATCCACAACCATAGAATGCAGTTGTAAAAAATCAGCAGATAAAACTATCACTGCACAGAACTGAAAATATAGAATCCCAGTATGACAACCAAGACACACCATTTCACTACGAAGCTACTCAGAGTTCATGCTCGACATGAAAGATGTTAAACTAAACAAAACAAATAAAACAATAAGAGAGTAAACAAATCAGACCCAATACCTTTAGAAAACGATATTTTGCCAGCCTCTGGACTCTATGACTGATGGATCCTTCTTCAGGTTTCTAAATGGCGAAAAGTAGAAGTATGAGTTGAAGAAAAAAATCAGCAAATTACGTTCAAGAAGGGTAAGAAAATATATTTCGGGAAAAGTAGAGCACAATAAATATTCTCTCCATAGATCTTTTATATATATGCAAAAGGTCTCTTACTAAAACAAAGAATAAATAACCAATGATTTTTACATATTTGAACCAGATTTATTGAAAATATTATTTTGTACAAAAAAATCATTTCCAAATAAAAATAATACTCAAAATTAATATCTCCCAATTAATAATCTCTGATATTTAGCCTCTGTTTGAGCCCGATTATTTAAAAACTAATTTTTCCTCAAACTTATTTTCAATTACGCATTCTCCCAATAAAATAATATTACAAGTAAACCAAAAACTTTTCTCTACTTTTTAACTACACATACTCAAAAAAATCACTATTACAAAATCTATTACTCCAACAAAAAGAAGGGGGGGGGCTCAAACAAACCATTAACAACATTTCATGGAACCGACCGCGTTTCATAGGCATAATTTAATATTTCAATGATATAATAATTAATACAAAATATCAAATAAAAAAAATCGCGAAATCACGTTCCTTAGAGAACAAGTAGTTTGTTTCTTCTCGGTTGTCCTGATTTCGCTTTGTATCCTCAAAATACCTTATAAGCTACAACATGACTGGGCTTTGAAAGGTAATAGAAATATATCATAGGCACCAAATTGGAGATATGAACCATCTTTGCATTTAATTTTTAATTGAAGATATATACCATCCTTGCATTTAATTTTTTACTGGAGATTTATACCAAGTTCAATGGTAACTTATAAACAATAGCTATATCATATATGATAAAGACATTCCAACTACCTAATAATATGTAGTGGTATTATCAAGCACTTAAAAAATATATATATTTTTTAGTAGTTGTTCAACAAATTAATAACCTCCACTGATTAATAAATTACTGTTCAATATATCACATTAATATAGAGAGATCAGGCTGTATACCTTTTTGTAAAAACTAGGAATGGTGCCTGCTTCAGAGCTCTTTTGTTGCTTCTCCTTAAACATATCTAATAAAATTCTTTTTGTTTCTAGCTCTGAAAGGAGGACAAAAATTCAGTCAGAAAAGTGCCTGCTTTCAGTATGTTTAAGCAGGAATCCATAAAAATTGCAAATCCAAACACATTTTATGACTATGAAGTCCCGCATCATCCAATCCAGAAATAACTGTCTTAGAGAAATATCGCTGAGCAAGATATAAGCATGAATTGCATAGTATATCATCAAACATAGTTCTTTGGAACTTCAATGGAAGTGCTACAAAGCATGGCAACAACAACCTAATGTTTATTCGAAATAAATCTAGAGTCAACCATATGAATGCTTTTTCGCCATTGTGTTCGATTTGTTGCTACCTATCCAAAGTAATTAAATCCTTAACAACCACAACTAACATTTTTAGTTTTGTTTTACGCCTTCTTTAACCAGTTCTACTGAGATTGTAACACTCTTATGACCGAGAGCCTCTTTACATCTACACAAAACACGGAACAACCATCTCAGTCGTCGTACCCTTAGCTTATCCTCAATCAATGTCACCTCCACTTGTTAAAATATATTCTCATTTCTTACCTTATTCATTCTTGTATGACCATATATCCCATCTTAGCATCCTTAATAATGTCCCCTTCCTTTCTCTATTCCGCCTCCTCCTTTGTTCTGTTCGAATGGCTAAATGCAAAATCATTCGTATGCCTACTTTAATTACTTGACAAAGTGGGACTTTTTTAATTTGATTTCTGCTATGTTTTGTTCTCTAACACCATGAATTCATACCATTAAGTATAGCAAATCTAACATCTGGTACATGGAAATGATCTTATGAGAATCATCCTTTTACACAGAATTTCTCTAGAACTTATCCATGTCATCCAACCTACTCGAATCCTAGGCATCAGATCCTACTCAATTATTCGACCTAAATATCTAAAACAATCACTTTTAACGACCAAGCAATCATCCATAGCAGTTCAATTATCATCCTTATTACCACTATTACTAAAGTAACACTTTATCTACTGAATCCTGGTTCTTCTTGCAATCAATCAAAAGCATTTAAGCATACAAAAATAACTATTACAACTAGCAATGGGGGAGTTGTAGGAAATTACAGACCCATTAAGGATTCAGATCCAAGCCCGGCACCGGATCCGATGTACCGGCGGAGGTTTCGGACCCATAGCATGGAAGAGACAGGAGGGATTTTCCTCGGCGCCGATGAATCGTGCCCTTCTCCGTCGCTGGATCCACTGTACATATCTCTACTTCCAATTCAAAACCACTTCGAGAAAAATCTCAAAGCAAAAAAATAATTCACATGCAAGTCGCTGTAAATTCTATTAGGGGCTCCGAAAACAGATTGATATAACGCGAAGACAAAATCTCGCTCACTCGCTGAATCGAAATATTAGGCTCTGTAAACTGTAATCTGCAAAGGTACCCTCCTGTTTCAACGTTTCTACGCTCTCTCCGGTTTGGACCAAACGGATGTATTAGAAACCGAAACGGTTCGGTCTACATTCCTTTAGCCACGGTTCGGTACACATTAAAATTTTTATTCTCATTCTTTTATTCATTTTCAACCACATATCTTCAATAAAATAATAATTTTCATCACATTAATAACTTTTCCTTCCTTTTCAACCATACATTCTCCATCAATCTACTATTCAAAAATATATTCTTCCAAAATAATATGGATCAAACACAACCTTATTATATAAATTAGTTTTTTATATAAATCTGAGTTTAATATTTCAATGGCCACCAAACTTTGTACCATGTCACGACATATTCACTGAATTTTATTAATTGTCTCGTTAGCCACTGAACTTTGCACTATCATTGTAGATTAATCACTGGATGGATGGATGGAGTTAAAAAATGATGCTGAAGTGGAGGATGGAAAACCAACGTGACCTGTTAATTCCTTCCTAATATAAATTCATTCGCCAACTCAATGCCACATCATTATTTTCCAAAGAAGACACTTGCTAAACATGGCCTTACCAAATCAATAGAAATGTGTAGCCAAGCATAAGCTTGAAAACCAAAAGAATAATGCTATTCATCCCAAATGGGTTACAAACACAGTTAGGTGTCGTTAATGTGGCATTAAATGATATGTGAAATTAAATAAATCATTTAATTTCACTTTTTATTTCACCTATCATTTAGAGTCACTTAAACTGTATTAGTAACCTCACTAGGATGAATAACATTTCTCAATCCAATAATGCTATTCAACCTCACTGGGGTTACAAATACAGTTTAGATGGCGTTAATGTAGCATTAAATGATATGTGAAATTAAATAGGTCATTTAATTTCACCCTTCATTTAACCTATCATTTAGAGTCACATATACCGTGTTTGTAACCCCACACAGTTTAGGTGGCGTTAACGTGGCATTAACTGATAGGTGAAATTAAATAAGTCATTTCATTTCGCATTTCATTTAACTTATCATTTAGAGCCACCTAAACTGTATTTGTAACTCCATTGGGAATGAATAACATTACTCAATCTCAATAATGTTATTCATTCTCAGTTGAGTTACAAACGCAGTTTAGGTGGCATTAATGTGACATTAAATGATATGTGAAATTAAATTAAGGCGGCATTAAATGATATGTGAAATTAAATAAGTAATTTACTTTCACCTTTCATTTAACATATCATTTAGAGTCACATAAACTGTGTTTTTAATATCACCGGGGATGAATAACATTACTTAATCCGAGTAATGTTATTTATCCCCGCTGGGGTTACAAACACAGTTTAGATGACGTTAATGTGGTATTAAATGATATGTGAAATTAAATAAGTCATTTAATTTCACCTTTCATTTAACCTATCATTTAGAGTCATTTAAACTATGTTTGTAACTCAATTTTGAATGAATAACATTACTCAATCCGAATAATGCTATTGATCCCTACTGGGGTTACAAACACAGTTTAGGTGCCGTCAATGAGACATTAAATGATATGTAAAATTAAATAAGTCATTTAATTTCACATTTCTTTTAACCTATTATTTAAAGACACAAACTGTGTTTGTAATCCAACTGGAGATGAATAACATTACTCAATCCGAGTAATGCTATTCATCCTCACTGAGATTACAAACACAGTCTAGATGGCGTTAATGTGACATTAAATGATATGTGAAATTAAATAAGTTATTTAATTTCACATTTCATTTAACTTATCATTTAGAGCCACCTAGACCGTGTTTGTAACCCCACTAGGGATGAATATCATTACTCGAATCAAGTAATGCTATTCATCCCCAGTGGGGTTACAAACACGGTCTAGATGGCGTTAATGTGGCTATCCACCGTGTTTGTAACCCCGCTGGGGATGAATAGTATTACTCGATCTATTCATTCCCAGTAGGGTTACAAACACGGTTTAGCTGGCGTTAATGTGACATTAAATGATATGTGAAATTAAATAAGTCATTTAATTTCACATTTTATTTAACATATTACTTAGAGCCACCTAAACTGTGTTTGTAAACCCATTGGGGATGAATAACAATATTCAATTCGGGTAATGCTATTCATCCCCACTGGGGTTACAAACACAGTCTAGGCAGCGTTAATGTGACATTAAATGATAGGTGAAATGAAATAAGTTCATTTAACCTATCATTTAGAGTCATATAGACTGTGTTTGTAACTCNTTTTATTTCACTTGTCATTTAACTTATCATTTAGAGCCACATAAACTGTGTTTGTAACCACAGTGGGAATGAATAGCATTACTCGGATTGAGTAATGTTATTCATCCTGAGTGGGGTTACAAACACAGTTTTGGTGACGTTAATGTGATATTAAATGATAAGTGAAATTAAATAAGTCATTTGATTTCACATTTTATTTAACATATTATTTAGAGCCACGTAGAATGTGTTTATAACCCCATTGAGGATGAATAACATTACTCAATTCGAGTAATGCTATTCATCCCCACTGTGGTTACAAACACAGTCCAGGTGGCGTTAAATGATATGTGAAATTAAATAAGTCATTTAATTTCATCTTTTATTTAACCTATCATTTAGAGCCACCTATACTGTGTTTGTAACTCCACTGGAATGAATAACATTACTCAATCTAAGTAATGCTATTCATCCGCACTTGGGTTATAAACACAGTTTATGTAGCGTTAATATAGCATTAAATGATAGATGAAATTAAATAAGTTATTTAATTTCACCTTTTATTTAACCTATCATTTAGAGCCACCTAAACTGTGTTTGTAATCCCACTGGAGATGAATAACATTATTCAATAGTGATAGGTTAAATGATAGGTAAAATTAAACAAGTCATTTAATTTCACCTTTCATTTAACCTATTAAGAGAAACCTAAACTGTGTTTGTAACCTCACTGGGGATGAATAACATTACTCAATAGTGATATGTTAAATGATAGGTAAAATTAAAGAAGTCATTGAATTTCACCTTTCATTTAACCTATTATTTAGATAAACCTAAATTGTGTTTGTAACCCCACTGGGGATGAATAACATTACTCAATTCAAGTAATGCTATTCATCCCCACAGGGGTTATAAACACAGTTTATATGGCATTAATGTGATATTAAATGATATATGAAATTAAATTACTATTAAATTTCACATATCATTTCACCTATCATTTAAAGTCACCTAAATTGTGTTTGTAACCCCACTGGGATAAATAACATTACTCAATCCGAGTAATGCTATTCACCCTCAGTGGGGGTTACAAATACAGTTTATGTGACGTTAATGCGGCATTAAATAATATGTGAAATTAAATAAGTCATTTAATTTCACATTTTATTTTCGAGTAATGTTATTTATCTCCACTAGGATTACAAACACAGTTTAGATGTTGTTAATATGATATTAAATGATTGGTGAAATTAAATAGGTCATTTAATTTTACATTTCGAAAACTTAGTTCGTCTATGTAATCAAAGTGGAGATTGTGAACTCTAATCCCTAAATTTAGATAATCCCCAAAACCAGATAATGCCCGAAAACGCTAATCCCCAAATCCAGTTAATCGTTATCGAAGCACCTATCCGCCATTGCTGACCACTTGAAGAGCCCATTGCAAGCGTGAAGAAGCAACAGCGAAGTCGACATGGATGGAGCGTATGAAGGTAAGGTCGAAACTTTTTTTCACTTTTGTGGCATATTTCACAGTTTGAAAATGATTTTTGTGAGTTATTGCATACAATTATTATGATGGTATCACTAGTTCTTATGCTGGTCTAGGGATGGTTGTAAAGGGATTGTCATTTACGAATTTTGAATTGAACAAGCTGAATGATTGAATTGAACTTGAAATTAGCACTTTGATTTTGTTGTTGAACTGATATGGCTGTAAAAAAAATTTGATCTGACCAATTAATATTTGTATACACACTTAACTTAGATATAGGTTTCTTTGGTTGGTCTACACATTAGGGTGCTCTAGTAATGATCATGTTAGAAATATGAGGAACGATTTATTATTAACAATCTAAACTGAATTCTTTGATGGTAGTTGTAATGCAGTTCTTGGTTGGGAAAGTATGGAAATTGCTCGGAAATTAAGTTACTGCTTCTACTGGTGGGTTGATTCAGGTATTATAAGATGAGAGAACAAGGACTAGGAATGACAACTTGCTTGGTAAATTTGAGCTCTCAGGCATTCCTCTAGCACCAAGGGGAGTTCCTCATATCACGGTGGGCTTCGACATTGATGCTAATGGTATCTAGAACGTTTCTACCAAGGACAACACCACCGAGCAAAAGAACAAGATCACAATTATAAATGACATGGGTAACTTGTGTGATAAGTTTATGACATCTTCACAACACTTTCTGGTAATTGATTATAATGAAAATTGTTGAGGATCATTTTAATAATTTTATCACATTATCGGTAGAAATATATTTATAGCTAGAAAATTCGTTGCTTTGGTTACTGCCTAATATCAGTATAAAAATGGAGATTTAGATTGGGATGTGAAATTGTGAATGAATGATTAAACATGAAGAAAGTCAATCTCAAAGTTCTTATAATGAATAAGAAGTTCCCGTCCAAAGTATCAAAAATATGTTGGGGATAACATACCATTGACTCCCAGGAAGTGCCTTGTCTGTGCCATGAATACAGTCTACAGCGACATTGGATAATTGAAATAATTAGGACATGCACATTTGGACAAAGTTTCCCACGGGCACAATAAATGTATTACATTCATGTGCGCTA